GTTCACTCAGCAGACCTCCCCCCAAAAAAGTTGATCAATAACTGAATGCTCCATCCTTAAAAGCAATTTCAATTTGGTAAAAAGTGCCAGAAAATGATGTTCCAGTAGTGACAGTAGTTGTTGCAGAGTTCACTCAGCGGACATGTGGCCTAGCTCCATTGATAAGGGAGTGGCCCTTGCTATATCCTCAAAGTGCAAATTACTGTTTATAAGTTAAAGAGTAGGAAGTTGGAGAATAGATATGAGAGAAGACTACTTTGGCTTAGACTTAATATGGAGGATTGAGAAGAGAGAAATAATATACAGGGGAAGAATAGTTTGCCTCAGAGAATTATAAAGGTAGTTTGAAACTAACTTGGGAAGCTAACTTGTCACTTTGGAGCTTCAGAGGTGACCTCATTGTCCATCACTGGAGGCAGTGTTTTGGCATTAGTGTTAGACTGAGAGAATTCTGAAACTAGAAAGCCAATTGTAAGAGTGGGCTAAATCTTTACAGGTATTTAGGAACAACAATAAAAAAAAAGAGTGTTTTCCATCAGCAGTATTTAGCTCATGCAGCTCTTGAGCCACGGTTGATTCTTTTGTGTATCATCAAGTCATAATAACTTTCTGGATTCTGGGTGCTTAATTTTATTATTTATTTAGTGAGGTATTTGAACTTACAGCAAGGTGCTGTCCCTTAGCTTTTTTGCTCAAGGCTATCATTCTACTACTTGAGCCACATCTACCTCTGGCTTTTTGCTGGCTAATTCGAAGTAAAGAGTCTCATGGTTTTTCCTGCCTAGGCTCTCTTTGAACCATGATCCTCAGATCTCAGCCTTTAGAGTATCTAGGATAACAAGTGTGAACCTCCAGCACCCAGCTGCCTTTTTGGCTTTTTGGAACAAGGTCTCACTAAGTGCCAGAATTACAACTACTGCATCTGGCTCAGAATGTCTAATTCTATTCCAAGATTACTGTATATGCAACAATACAGAGGGCAGAAGCATTGGATACAGATTGAGAGAGTACTTTGTTTGCAAGTTTTGGTCTGAGTAACCAATTTCTATATTGTTATTAAGAATATGTGTGTAATTTGTCCTTATAGAGGTCATTAACTCCTTCAGAAAACTGTTTCAGCATTTCAAGATGATATGCCTCTCGTTACAGCTATAGAGGGCTGGTTCCATGGTACACCATAAATCTTGACTTACCACCCTACAAAAGATGGCATGATTTAGTGTCAGACAAGGCACCAAGGGTATGTAGTGATTCCCAGTGTTTTCTTTCTGACTTTAATGAATATAACTGTATTTTTAAAAGAATTTTTCATGAATTAGTTTATATGTATGTTTTAATACTTTTCTGTCATGAATCAGTGTTGATGGTAGAGGTAACTTCTTACTCTTTTTAGTAAATTTTTGCTTCTGTTTTCTTCACTCTATATTATCTCTCTTTAAGAAGCAAATTCCATTTTAAAGATAAAATTGTGTTAACATATTAATTGAAAATATTTTCAAATGATGTTTACTGTTTGATTTAGCCATATATGGGTAAGTTAAAAAATCTGTTTTCATAATATATATATATATATTATTCTTAAATCTTAGCAGTCTTTTATGTATTTAAGTATTTTATTTTTCCAGATAAAGATATTAGTGAATTCCCTGAAGAATGTAGCAAATGCATTTGTGCCAAGTGGAAAAATTATGGAGATGGTGGATCATAAGTTGGTAAGAAATAATTTCCTATGATGAAGTTTAAGCATACACACTCATACATATATACACAAAGTTCCAAAGGTGCTTGGGACTTATTTAAAGAAATAATTCAGCAACCACTTCTCAAGAACTTTGGATATTTTTGTATCTCTTTGGACTTTGGAAGGATTTAAATTCTTGGGTTGGTAATATTAGAGTAACAAGGCACAAAGCATGGAAAAATTTTGGCAGTTAACTGCTCTTCAATGTATGGACTTTTTTACAGAGCAGTGGACAAATCTTCATATTTCACCAGGGAGTATAGAATTTCTTGCCCTTATACTTAGGTTTGTAAGGACACTATTGACTTTTGCTGGGGGCATAGTTTAGCAGTATAGTATTGTGCTTATGGAAAACATTGGTTGGTTTGATTCATATCACAAAAAAAAGAGCAAAACTAAAAAAAAAAATGTTGATTTCTCACTACTACCTAGGTATTTTGCCTAAGTATCTCAGAAATCAGATTTCTCTAGAATGACCAAATGACTCACTCAGCCAAGCCCTGTATTCTGTGGAGATGGAGTCCCCTCAGTGTGTGACCCTTGAAACTCAGTTTTTTTGTTTGTTTGTTTGTTTGTCCGGTCATGGGGCCTGAACTCTGGGCCTGGGCGCTGTCCCTCAGCTTTTCAGCTCAAGGCTAACCTCTACCACTTGAGCCACAGAGCCACTTCTGGCTTTTTTTCTTTTTGCTTATGAGATGCTGGGGAATCGAACCCAGGGCCTCATGCATGCAAGGCAAGTGCTCTACCACTGAGCCACCTTCCCAGCTCCAGAAACTCAGTATTTTTTTTTGTAGGCAGTCACCAAACAATTTAATTTTCCTCTTATTCAGGAAGACTCCATCTCTCATCTTTTTAACTTATTTACAACCAATGGAAGACTTAAGAAATGCCTCCTAGGGAAAAAAATAATATGCTTAGTGAGATCATAACAAATTAGTGAAAAATAGGATTTGTGAACTTTTATCACATTATCTCAGCAAGAGGGCATGAACCTAAATTGGAATCTCAATGTTTGTGAATAGTTGTAGTTGAGAATAAAAGTATGATGTCCACCATTGAAGCTTGCTTGTCTGTCTGTCATTTGCTAACAGTGCAATTAATGCATCTTAAAACAAGATCAATTGTGTAATGTTTAGTCTTAAGCACCTATATAGACACCTGTGACTCTCAGATTGTATATTCTTCTTTGATCTTTCCTCAGTCTATAGAGAGAGCAAGAACTAGAATCAGTCCACCTGTATAATCTCATACAACCCACACTAGGACTTTAGAAAAGAATTCTTATTACCTATTGTGACAGCAATATGTAGGACAAATATCAATGAACCAGATCTCAAAGCATTCTTTTAGAGGAAACAACTGTTAATCTGTTTTTCAGCCTGGTCTACTAGGTACCCTTCCTGGCCCTTTTGAAGAGGAAATGAAGGGGATTGCAGATGTGACTGAAATACCTTTAGGTAAAGTATACTTTGCAACATTTAGAACACTTGATAAAACACTTTTAACATATTTGTATTGAAGAAAGATATACATACAGCAAAGTATAAAGATCTTAATAATAAATAATGCTGCTGAGCACCAGTGGCTCATGCCTGTAATCCTAGCTATTCAGAAGGCTGAGATATCCTTAATTTTTGATGTTTTTTTGAAAACTATTCTTAAAGTTTCATCTCGTAATTTGTAACATCCATTGAAAAAGTTTTTTCATTACTCCAAAATTTTTATTTTAAGCTGCCAAAGCAGTAGAATTATTATTTTTATTACAGGCAATAGTACTTTGCTTTTACAAAAGAGTCAATTGAAAAATTATTTCTCACAAAGATGGATTGATTTTTGCTTATTTTTTTGCTTTTTAATGAACAGTTTGATACAATAGGAACATATCTGCAGTCTACATGAAAAATAAGTTTTTAATTCTTTCATTATGTAAAGAACTCTCATAACTTGGTATGACTCAAGAAAAGAAACCCAAGCAAAGGCAAAGTGCTATTGGCTCACACTTGTGTTCCTAGCTACTCAAGAGGCTGAGATTTGAGGATCAAGGTTCAAAGTCAGCCTAGGCAGAAAAGTCTGTGAGTCTTTTATCTCCAATTAACAGCCAAAAATGGAGATAATGGCTCAAGTAGTAGAGAGAAAAAAAACCAAGGGAGAACAGGAGGCCCCTGAATTTAAGCCCTAATACCAGCACAAAATAATGAAAAGTTTTAGAAAAAGAAAACTGAACAAGAATATAAGTCCTTTGAGTTCAAGAAAAAATTAATGCTGAGTTAGTATTATACAGTTTTGTAAAAATATTTTAAAAGCCAGGCACTGGTAGCTTACACCTTAATCTTAGCTACTCAGGAGGTTAAGATCTAGTCATAGTTTGAAGCTAGCCCAGGGAGGAAAATCTGTGAGACTGAGATCTCCAATAAACTATTCACAAAAAGCTCAAGGTGGAACTGTAGTTCAAGTAGTAGAGAGCTAGCCTTGAGCAAAAGAAGCTCAGGGATAACACCCAGGCCCAGAGTTCAAGCCCCAGGACCGGCAAAAAAAAAAAAAACAATTAAAGATGAAATATTCTACAGTAGCTTTCCTTGGCAACTCGCAGTACACCAGAGATAGATAAATTTTCATATTTAAATTATTCCCAAAAGCTTAAAATGAACAATATTGCTGATCGTTTTGTACATACTATAGCATAGATGTTAGTTCACCCAATTTTCTGTGCCTTTGAGAACTTGTTTATTGTCATCAGTAGAGTCTGAGTAGGTGAGAGGTGCTGGCACCTGTCAGATATTTAGGCACACTGAGGTTGGCTTGTGACATCGACACACACAGAAACATGCTTGGCCACACACACACACACACACACACACACACACACAGAGTGAAGATACTTTTCTAAAAACATTTTTCAGAGTTTGGGTTTTGATCATTGGCAGACTTTGTAAGTGAGGTTATTGAGTGAGGTTTATGAGTGCGGCCTTTACTATTGAACCCCAGAACTACCAAAAACAGGTTTGTTGTCATGGTTCTATATATTAACAAATCTTTCCCTTCTGCTTCCTCACAGGAGAGATAATTTCATTCAATATTTTCTATGAGCTTTTTACTATGTGTACATCAATAATAACAGAAGACAAAGAAGGTAATATATGCTAAAGAAGGGTGGGTAGTGCACAGTAAGACATAAAAGAAAAATCTTTCTTAAAAAGTTTGTTTTTTCCCCCCAAAGTGGAATTAATCACCAAAAAGTTAGAAGTAGAGCTGTGGCTCAAGTGGTAGAGCACCAACACCAATCTTGTATGGAAAAGCCAAATAACAGTGCCCAGGCCTTGAGTTTAAGCCACAGTACTGGCACACAAACACACAAAAAAAACCTACCACTTCACATCCAGGTTTATTCTGTATATGTTCCATATACCTCTATATATTAGTAAATGCTGTAAGTATACTGAAAACTAGTCTTATAACCCCTCCACTTCCTACCAAAGTATAATTCAAACATGGAGAAAATGGCAAGAAGTGTTTGAGACTAGAAATGTTACTTGGCTCATAGTCTGCCTATGATCATCTGCATTATGTAGTAGACAGGAGGAAAAGGACTATGGTTCTGCATGCAATGACATGAGTTTTGCTGGAGGCTAATTACAAATATCCTCCCACCATGTTAAGCCAGGGATCCCTATGTATAGCAGTCTCCTATTCCTACATTATCCTGGCTAGTCTACAGAGTCCAAAGCATAAGATAGCTTGCCCAATTTACCCTTACTTTTGATCTATACTCTGGGTATAAAGTTTGTCCACATCTAATCCTCGAAATTAGTTACAGGAGGAAGCTATGAGTAAGCCATATTCATTGGGGCGAAGATATCTTTGCCCTTCCTGATAGAACTATGTCAAAGTTGGTCCAAGAAAGGCCCTGTCCCTTTAATCATATTCTGGTCTTTTTTTTTGGGGGGGGGGTCCGGTCGTGGGGCCTGAACTCTGGGCCTGGGCGCTGTCCCTCAGCTCTTCAGCTCAAGGCTAGCACTCTACCACTTGAGCCACAGCGCTACTTCCAGCTTTTTTCTTTTTGATTATGTGGTGCTGAGGAATCGAACCCAGGGCTTCATGCGTGCAAGGCAAGCGCTCTACCACTGAGTCACCTTCCCAGCCCCCATGTTCTGGTCTTGACTAGATCTCTGTACGCTCAGTTGTTGGAGTATCTTGGTGATGTGCAGTGATTCCAGTTTACTCATGTTGTCAAGCTGCTTAAGTGTCCAGCTGTGATTGGGAATCTGAGTACTACCTTAACTGTGACATGTGTCTCTTCTGATTACCTTCTGAATAGGTCATCTTCTACATGGAAGAAACATGGACTTTGGAGTGTTTCTTGGGTAAGCGTTACTTAATAACGTTATTCCATAAGAAATATAGATTGTATTACCTTGATGAAAAGATAGTCCAATTCCATGCCTACTATATGGCCGTAAGTGAACATGACTGGATTCTTTAGTATCAAGGCATGTTTTCTGTAAACTGAAGGTTTTTTTTTTTCTTGTGAAAATACTGTACAGAGGGGTTACAATTACATGGGCAAGATAATGAGTACATTTCTTATCAAGCATTGTAGCCTCCTCCTTTGTTTCCCCTTCCCACCCCTTTGTAAACTGAAGGTTTGATTCTGCTACTTAAAGATAATAATAAAAAAATTTTAAATGCAGTGAAGAAAAAAAGTTTGATTCTAAAAAGTTGCACCTCGGGAATAGAAATCAGGACCACTCTTGAAAGCTACAGATGAATACATTACTTATTTCTTAGAAGGAAAAGAAACATTGTTCTCTACTTCTCTTCTAGACCTTCCTGAAATAAATAAGAGTTTGTAATAAAGACCTACATTAGAATATGGGGCCCATTATCTATATAGTCAGTGTGGCATGGGGAGAGTTACTCAATTTCGTTCAGCCTCAGATTTGTATTCTGAAAACAGAAGATAAACTACCCTGTATAAGTCATCTGCATATAGCTGTGACAAAAATATCGATGGGAACAATTTTAAATGAGGAAAGGTTTATATTGGCTCATGGCTGAGAGGTTTCAGTCCATGATCAGCTGCTTTTAAAACTGGTGAAGGCAGGTCATCATTCTGTGGAAGTGTGTAGTAGAGGAGACTGCACACTTCATGGCCATGGAAGCTGGTGGACAAAGGTGCCCAGGACCAGCTATAACTCCCAAAGGCATGTATTTCAGGACCTTCCCCCTTTACCTACGAAGCCCCCTCCCCTAAGTTTCTGTCATTTCCCAAAAACTCATCAAATTATGATGCTACTAGGGCCCTCAGGATCCAACCCCTTCCTCCAAACCCACCTCTCAACATGGCTACATTTCGGACCCATCCTTTCACACATAATGATTTTTGAGACTTTCAGAGCCAAACCATAACAAACCTAATAGTGTAAAGGTCTTATTAGGCTCGATCACCTGTGGTTTTGCAGATAAAGCACCTATGATAATGCTTAATGTTCCTCTTAATCTTCAACTGTTCTTAAATATCACCAAAATTTGTCTTCTAGGTGGAATGTAAATAATAATACCTGGGTCGTAACAGAGGAACTAAAACCTTTAACAGTGAATTTGGACTTCCAAAGAAACAATAAAACCGTTTTTAAGGCTACAAGCTTTGCTGGCTATGTGGGCATGTTGACAGGATTCAAACCAGTAAGGAATTTGTTGTTACATACTTCTGTGAATTGTATGGAGTCCTGCTTTTACATGTGGGAAGGGTTGAGTCCAAGAAAATAAGGACCTGAAAAGAATATGAAGCTCCATTCCATCCCCTGTACATCTTGTCACTTCATCAGTATGCATATAAATGAAATGCTTAGCCTGGTTTGAGTGTGGTCAGCAGTCAGGCGCTGAGAGTCAGCATCTGGGATCCAGCCTCTGTCTCCTGCTCATATAGGCCAGTCATATGTGAATTTTCTGTTCTTCTGTTTCCTGTCTAAAAAATATCAACAGTAATAACCCATCCAACTTATAGATGTGAAAATCTTTGAACTCAAAAAAAGCCTTGTTCTTTACAGTGTTCCTTACCCGTTCTGATATACCACATTGTAATTCTGGAGGGAAGGCCTTAAAGAGAATAGTTGACAATTCTGACTATGTTGCTTTGTCTTTTCTCAGGGACTATTTAGTCTTACACTAAATGAACGTTTCAGTATGAATGGCGGTTATCTGGGTGAGTAGTCTGTTCAGAGGTGAAAGGTCCACAGCCTTTATAAGAGGATGGTTGGACTGTGTTTTGTAGTTAAGAGAAGTCTCACTATGTCCAGGTCCTGTGACACTATATATGTGTGATCTCTTCCAGGTATCCTAGAATGGATTCTGGGAAGGAAAGATGCCACGTGGATAGGGTTTATGACAAGATCAGTTCTGGAAAATAGTACAAGGTGAAGTGGTTTACTGCCTTATTATCAGATATGCCATTTATTTTAAATTACTTACTCTAGGATATAAGCCCCAAGTTAATACCCATAGAGGAACTGTTACAGAATTTGTTAGGTGAATCGTTGACACACACAGGGAATTACTCTTTGTGTGTATTGCATGCCCTTGTAGCATGAACAATAAAATTATTTACAAGTGTTAAAGAGATATTGGAAGGCACCAACATGTTGTAGTCTTCTGTGATGCAGGAATCTTACATTTGAAAATTGCTTTCCTTCAGTTCCCACCACATCCAATTGACTTAGAACAAGTTGACCTTGATTCGAGATTTAATACTTCCCAATGATTCAGAGTTATTCAGTGATTCAGAGTTATTCTTCAAGTCATCACTTAAATTTTTAAGAGCTCTAATTTTCAAGGTTGCTTTGTATTTTCTCAGTTTTATATACTGTGATTGTTTTGTCTGTTGAGGGACAGGCGTAGACAATAAGGCAGGAGGATCCTCTTTTTGAAGTCGTTTTATTTCTCCCTCAGATGAGGAACCTGCTGAGACCCCTCCCTTATATCTTAGTAGCCACCTATGAAGATTGTTCCTACTGGAAATGCTGTTCACCATGGTTTTGAAAAAAGTGCCATAGACACTTTAGTTTCTACAAAAGTAACACATTTACATTCCAAGTCATCTAAAATGCTTACTTTTTTCTTTTAATCCTGTAGTTATGAAGAAGCCAAGAATATATTGACTAAAACTAAGATATTGGCTCCAGCATATCTTATCCTGGGAGGCAACCAGTCTGGGGAGGGTTGTGTGATTACACGAGAAAGGAAAGACTCTTTGGATGTATTTGAGTAAGTATATTTGTTAAGGCAAAAAGGTATAAATGAAAGCCCAGACTGAGGGCTGGGAAGGTGGCTCGATGGTAGAGTACTTGCCTTGCATACATGAGGCCCTGGGTTCAATTCCTCAGTACCACATAAACAGAAAAAGCCATAAGTGGTATTGTGGCTCAAGTGGTAGAGCGCTAGCCTTGAGTTGAAGAGCTGAGGGACAGCGCCCAGGCCCAGAGGTCAGGCCCCAGAACCAACAACAAAAAGAAAAAGAAAAGAAAGCACAGACTGACATATGTACAGATTTAAGACATGAAGACTTAGAATAAATCTCTCTCTCTCTCTCTCTCTCTCTCTCTCTCTCATTTTAATACAGACTCAATCCTAAACAGGGTAGATGGTATCTGGTACAAACAAATTATGACCGATGGAAAAGCCCCTTCTTCCTTGATGATCGCAGAACACCTACACAGATGTGTCTAAACCGCACAACCCAAGAGGTACTTTGCATTGTAATATGTAAAAGAAACTGTCTCCTTTAGGAACTAGTATTGACATTCTTTGGCCTTCAAAAAATAAACATAGCTGGGTGCCAGTGGTTCACGCCTGTAATCCTAGCTACTCAGGAGGCTGAGATCTGAGATTGCCATTCAAAGCCAGCCTAGGCAGGAAAGTCTGTGAGACTCTTATCTCTAATTAACCATCAGAAAACTAGAAGTGGCACTGTGGCTTATGTTGGTAGAGCACTCACTTTGAGCTGAAAAGCTCAGGGACCGCGCCCAGGCCCAGAATTCAAGCCACACAACCAACAAACAACAACAACAAAAAACCCACATTATGCAGTATCTCTAGACAGTCCTCACTGAGGTTTTGTGGGTGATTTTGGTTTTGGAGGTTTTTTCCTTGGGGGGTGGGGGGGGCTTGAACTCAGTGCCTGGGCACTGTCCATAAACCCTTTTGCTCAAGGCTAGCACTTTACCACTTGAGCTAGAGCTCCACTTCCAGCTTTTTGGTAGTTAATTGGAGACAAGAGTCTCTTTTCTGCCCATGCTGGCTTTGAACCATGATCTTAGATCTCAGCCTCCAGAGTAGATAGGATTACAACTGTAATCCTTGGTTTTGTTACCAGGCACTCTTCCACTTGAGCCATGCCTCTAGCCTTTATTTTCTTGAACTCAGGGTCTAGGCACTGTCCCTGAGCTTTTTTGCTCAAGGCTAGCATTCTACCACTTGAGCCATAGCTCCACTTCCAGCTTTTTTGGTAGAAATGAGTCTCATAGACTATCCTGTCTATGCTGGTTTTGAACCATGCTACTCAGATCTCAGCTTCCTGAATAGCAAGGATTATAGTTGTAAGCCACTGTGTACAAAATTTTGCTGTAGTGTCCCTTTTATTACTCTAATGCTAGCTTTCATCTGTGAAGTTAAATAACAGGTTAGAATTGAAAAAAAGATAGAAGAAAAGGAAAATGCATTAGAAGCATTAACTGTTTTAGCAGTGTATAAAGGAAATTCCTTTAGGGAAGGGGACTGAAAGATGTTTCAGTGGCTAATGACCCATTTGTGTGGATGGACGCTGCTGACAGCTCTCTTTAACTTACTTAAGGAAACTGTTTTTATGTCCTAGAACCTGTCATTTGCAACTTTATATGATGTCCTGTCAACAAAGCCTGTTCTCAACAAGGTATTTATATATACAAATATGTATATATACACATATATATTTCCTTTCAGGGAAAGAATCTGATTCTGTTTTTTTGTCTTCTCCTGTTATCTTAGATCATTTTGAGCTTAGAAATGATATTCAGCTTAAGGATGAACATATTTCAGAATATTTTTAAAATAGGTATTTTGTGTGGCTGAAAACATAACTTTCAAAACATGATAAAGTTGCTATGGCTTAATGTTTTTTTTTTGTGTGTGTGTGTGTGTGTGTGTCGTGGGGCCTGAACTTGGCCTGGGCGCTGTCCCTCAGCTCTTCAGCTCAAGGCTAGCACTCTACCACTTGAGCCACAGCGCCACTTCCGGCTTCTTTTTGCCTATGTGGTGCTGAGGAATCGAACCCAGGGCCTTACACATGCAAGGCAAGCGCTCTAGCGCTCTACCACTGAGCCACCTTCCCAGCCCCAAATTGTTGTTTCAAGCTTTACATATAAGCAGATATAACCTAAATAAAAGGTTATGTGTAGCATTGTACTCCTTACTTTTCCCTGTCTCTGTCAGAATCACTATGCTGTGTGTGTTGACAAGGTAGGATTTCCCGTGGCTCTTTCATGTTCCTTTATTTTGTCCCCACATTATAAGTGAGAAACACAGTTTTGTGATTACCCCACTTGCTAATAGTCTTTGTGCATTCTGCATATACCCCCCTTCTACTATCTCATTCCTGTCTCTTCTTTTTCATTATACCTTCTGCCTCATAATCTGTAAAGCATACCTGCCGGAAGTCCTTCTCCCCTGTGAGATCTGGATCAGTACTTAGCTCCTGTAGAAAAGGCTTCCTTCAGTTCACTAACCTGCCATAGTGTGCTCCTGTTGCCCATACCAGCCCTGTGTGTGCTCACATAGATGCTTTACATGCTCTGCACAACCCTTGTGTGAGTGTAGTTGTGTGCTTTCAGTGTGGAACTGCCAGTTTCATCATTGTGTTCCAACTGCTGTGAGGGGAGAGAGAGCCAACAGTAACCTCTTTCAACACAATATAATCCTTAGGCTTCGTATGACTGCCAGTTATACATTGAGTAGGGTTAAGTGCAGCTTAATGGTTGTGAGGCAGTGTACTGCTTAGGAGTAACCTCTTGTAAGCAAACAGGGAGGGCCTGGGAAGGTGGCTCAGTGGTAGAGCGCTTGCCTTGCATGCTTGAGGCCCTGGGTTCGATTCCTCAGCACCACATAAGCAAAAAGAAAAAAAGCCGGAAGTGGTGCTGTGGCTCAAGTCTGAAGAGCTGAGGGACAGTGCCCAGGCCCAGAGTTCAGGCCCCATGACCGGACCCCCCAAAAAAAAGAAACAGGGATTATCCCAAGGCTATTAATATATTGTTAACTGATGTTGGATGTCTTAATATGATTATAAAATATCAGTAGACTATGTTGTATATTATTAGTATGTAGTTGTTTAATATTAAATAATTTTATAAAGCAAATTCTTGAGGGACAGAAATGATACCTTAGAATTGAAAAGTTCTTTAAAAACAACTTTTATCTTTCAGCTGACAGCGTTTACAACCTTGATTGACGTTACCAAAGGTCAATATGAAACTTACCTGCGGGACTGCCCAGACCCTTGTATAGGTTGGTGAGCGCGCATCCAGCCTACTGCTCATGCATTCCAATTTGTGAAGATGCAATGTCCAGCATGACTGGCTCGAGCAGCTTCCGGTCTTACCCAGGGGTTGAGAGACTCCAGGCCCATTCTTGGTGGGTCATGAGCATGTCCTTTTTTGGACACCTACAACTGCAGATTGTTTTTTGCACACAGAAATTGATTCTTCATAATTACAGGTCACTTTTTCAAGTGGAGCAAAGCAGTCATCTAGAATTTGCTGAATATCATTTCACTATGGCATTTGGGGATGGAATGAGGAGTTAAATCATTGTAGGACTTACAATGAAAAATGATGAATTTTTATTTATTTGAAATTAACCAAAGTTCTCTGCAGGTTAATCCATTGCCCTATGGAATGTAAAAATAAATAACCCACATTATTCAGTTTTTCACTTTTATCTACATATTTGTGTTTGTGTATGTGTGTGTGGTTTTAACTACTATCAATAGACTGCCTTTTGCTGTTATAATGCAGCAATATAATTGACAACTAAAGGAATGAGATAAACAATCAGTATGTCTTTTAGAGGGCGATAAAGATACCTTTAACTGTCTAAAGAAGTACCTTTGGGGATTCTTATCACTACGCATGGAAGTCTTTTGTGAAGAAAACTGAGGTATTCTCTTTTTCATAATTACCCTACTTCCCAATAACCCCAGGAAGTTGCTCACTTCCAAAACAGCTCCAGATTGTGTAAATTAGTACACATGTCAAAAACTTAAAAAAAATAAAACCAGGTACTAGTGGTTTGTACCTGCAATCCTAGCTGCTCAGGAGGCTGAGATCTGAGGATTGTGATTTTAAGCCAGCTGAGGCAGGAAAATCTGAGACTCTTATCTCCAGTTAACCACCAAAAAAACCAGAAGTGGAGGTATGCTCAAGTGGTAGAGTGCTAGCCTTGAGTGAAAAAGCTAAGAGATAGTGCCCGGGCCCTGAGTTCTAGCCTTAGCACCAGCACACATGAACACACACACAACCTTGAAAAAAGAAAGTGAATTTATTTTAAATTCGTACAGAATTATCTTTCATTTAATAAGTTTTTTGTACTTTGTTTTTTTTTGGGGGGGGTCCAGTTGTGGGCTGAACTCTGGGCCAGGGTACTGTCCCTCAGCTCTTCAGCTCAAGGCTAGCACTCTACCACTTGAGCCACAGCACCACTTCGAGCTTTTTCATTTTGCTTATGTGGTGCTGAGGAATCGAACCCAGGGCCTCAGGCATGCAAGGCAAGCACTCTACCACTGAGCCATCTTCCCAGCCCAGTTTTGTACTTCTAATCTTAGTTTATTATTTTTCAGTAATAACCTGTTAATCATCTTATCACAATTAATTATGAAGTAGATGCCCTATGTTACAGGATGCTTCTACTTTATTTTGTACCATCTCTGTTGTATGCATAGCGAGCAGCTTTGGAAGTGATGTCAGTCAGCACTCATGCATATTGACTGGGTGTGTATATCTATGTTGGTTTGAGGGTGGGGGTTATTATCGAGAAATACAAGCTGTACATAATATGAGTTAAATAACAGGTGTTATGTAAGTGGGTTATTAAACAAATGACTAAAGGGTCACAATCTTACATGACTAATACTTACCACCTCTTAACTAATAGTGTCAGCCCAGTTGGAGGAGTTCAGAGGCACCATTTCCCCCAGACAACAGCAGGTCCTTCCACAGAACAATAGTAACACCAGGATTATTTTTTTAAAAAAAGAGGAATTACAAGAGGATTTGTACTAAAATAAGATTGAATTAATGAAAAAAAAACCTTCAGATTTTGACCCTCTTACAAGAATTAAGTCAGGTAAACTTGATGTTTTTTTAATGTAGTATCCTTTGATGTTAATGATGATACAAGAAGTCAGATAATTGTTTCAAGCTAATTCCTCAGGTACAAGTGGAAGAGTAGGGGAAATTACTGGCATTGAATTTTAACTCATTTAAAAGTGGTGAAGAGGACTGGGAAGGTGGCTCAATGGTAGAGTGCTTGCCTTGCACGCATGAGGCCCTCAGTTCAACTTTGCAGCACCACATAAGCAGAAAAAGCCAGAAGTGGCGCTGTGGCTCAAGTGGGAGAGCCCTAGCCTTGAGCTGAAGGACAGCACCCAGGCTCAGAGTTCAGGCCCCATGGCCAAAAAAAACACAAAAGTGGTAAAGAAACTCTAGTGTGTGTGTGTGTGTGTGTGCATGCGTGCGTGCGTGTGTGTGTGTGTGTGTGTGTGTGTGTTTCCTATGAGGACGTTAACCACAATGTTGGTTATGGCTCTACCTGATTAGTGGTCAATCTGATTTGAATTTAAGAGGAAAACAATTTTCCCTGGATATTATTTTGACTGATTTTTTTTCTTTCTTTTTTATTTTGTCAGTCCTGGAGCTTGAACTCAGGGCCAGGGCACTGTCCCTTAGCCTCTTTGCTCAAGGCTAGTCCACAATACTTAAGCCACAGCACCACTTTCAGCTTTTTCTGAGTAGTTTATTGGAGATGAGTCTCACAGACTTTCCTGTCCGAGCTGGCTTTGAACTGTGATCCTCAGATCTCAGCCTTCTGAATAGCTAGTACTACAGGTGAGAACCCCTACACCACCCAGTGACTTTTTAAAATATATTTGACAAAAGTCAAATCTGGATCCAAAGAATGAGCTATCATTTATCTGTCTAGCTTTAATAGTGTAACTTAAGAGGAAGTGGATCACACCTATATTCCTTCACACATGCAGCTTTAATAACATCTTGCTAATAGATCCTGCTTCCGCCCGTGCTCTCTGTGTACCAGGCCTTGCACAGGTGCGGCTATAATGCACAAGCCTACTCAGTTTTCTCAACAAACAATTATGCTTGAAGTCTTTCTTGGCAGTGATGGATGGAAGTTTCAGTGACTTGCTCTAAGTTGTACCACGAGCAGGCATGAAAACAGAGGTGGCAGTGTCCAGCTCTAAGCTGCCACAACACTGCTGTGTAACTACAAGCAGAACAAGCCATCTTCCATGTAACACCCCCGATTGTGGTGGTAACCCCCAGACTGTGGTGCTGAATGTGCCACCACTTGGGCTCAGCCATCTGCTGGTTCTCCAGAAAACACATGCGCTTCCAAAGGCACTGGAAACTTTGTGGGATTAGGAACCAGTAACAATGTGTTCATCTGACAAGTTACTTGTTTTTTTACTAGCCCAAGTCTATGTTCAACTTGTGATTTACCAAAAGACCTCAGTCGTTTTCTGTACTTGTGACCACCTCCTCATTTGTTCCCCTCGTCTTCCTTTTAATTGTAGTTATGGGAAACACTCTAACGGCACTTGATCTTTGCTGCTGTAATTTTGCGTCTATACTGAACTACTCTGTGGACATATGTTGCCCTTCTGCCTGGAGGAAAAGCATACTACTTCTGTGTTCAGAGACTTCTTGAATTGCCATAAAGTCTCCCATCTGTCTTGCTACCAATTAGATACAACTCCCTAGCAATCAGAACTGTCTCTGGTGACCCAAACCAGAAAGAAAATTCCCATTTGTTTTGTCTATTTTCTATCCTATCTGAAAGCCTTATGGAAAATCTTACGTGTAGCACTGGGAAAGGTGAGGAACATGTTCCTGCCTCAAGGACCGCTACTCTGCAGGGTCCTCTGGGAGAGAAAAGAGCCAGGAGCCAGTGGCTCATGCCTGTGATCCAGGCTACTCAGGAGACTGAGATCTGAGGATCTTGGTTCAAAACCAGCCCAGGCTGGAAAGTCCATGAGATTCCTGTCTTCAATTAACCTCCAGAAAACCAGAAAAAGTGGTAGAATGCTACCCCTGAGCAAAAGAGCTCAGGGCTCTGAGTTTAAGCCCCATGACAGAGAAGGAAGGGAGCTGGGACCCACTAGGCAGCTGTTCAGCAATCCAGTGAGGGATCCCCATCCCCAACCCAGAGGGATTTTTTTTTGGGGTGAATGTGTGTGCACTAGTCCTGGGGCTTGAACCCGGCCTGGGTGTTGTCCATGAGCTTCATTTTGCTCAAGGTTAGGGGGGTCTCTACCATTTGAATCTCAGCTCCACTTCTGGCTTTTTTTTGGTGGTTAATTAGAGATAAGAAACTCACCAAATTGGGCTGGGAAGGTGGCTCCGTGGTAGAGCGCTTGCCTTGCATGCATGAGGCCCTGGGTTCGATTCCTCAGCACCATATAAGCAAAAAGAAAAAAGCCAGAAGTGGCGTTGTGGCTCAAGTGGTAGAGTGCTAGCCTTGAGCTGAAGAACTGAGGGACAGCGCCCAGGCCCAGAGTTCAGGCACCACGACTGACAAAAAAACTCACCAAATTAAAGTTGCTAATGATATGTTTTTCACAGGTTTCTTTCCATACACTCCTTTAGCCACAATAACCAAAAGGGAAAAGACAGAAATTAATGAAAGTAGGTATGAAAAATAGAATACAAAAAAAATGTAATTCAATGATACAAAGAAGATTCCACTGCTTAAAGAGAACTATAATGAAGAGAAAGATTGGAACCAGACTAACAAGTCTTAACAACACAGAAGAGGACAGGACAGATGGATTCACTACTGAACTCTATCCGGCCTTTAAAGAAGGAGTAGGCTGTCCATGTCAGACTCTGAACTAAGAGTCTAGGGAAAAAAAGAGACAATATAAGGAAAAGCAAAACTGAAAAAGAGCACAAAGAACCACAAGAGAGAAAAACTATGGATGAAAAGTGGCAAAACAGGAAGGCAATAGAGAAAAGTAGTAAATGATTTTGCAGCTCCAGCCTCTTCTCCCTTCACCAACCAGGTGATCTCTGGGGACAGGCCTGCAGACCTTACCTGCAGGACAAATCCACCCCTTCCAGAAGCCTCAATTCCTAGAATGGGGATTTGGCCAGTTAGTGATTTCCCATCTTGACAGACTAGCATCAGACAAGACCACCTTATCTTGGAGCAGCAGTGAGGCACCATCTGTGGGTAGGCTGCCTGCTTGACACTGGGGTACCCCGGGGCCCTAAGACTTAGACACAATGTGGGTACCAAGTATCTAGATAGATTTAGAGGGAGAGCAGTTTCCTAGCACAAGGTGTATCATTCTTTTATCCAAAATACAAAAGATCTAGCTGGGCTGGCAGATAATTCAGATCACTGAGTGATAAGTTTACATTGATTGCTGCAGGCAGCCTGTGGCCAGGACGGCACTAGGACTGAGCTAGAACTTGGAAGAACCCTAAAATTAAGGAACATTTTGTAGGACTGAGTAGGGTTGAGACCTGCAGCTAGGTTCAGGTGGCACACAGCCACCAGAGCTGGACAAAGAAAAGAAGGCTATTGAGGCCTCTAGTGGATAGGAAAGACTCGTAGGTTGGTAGGCTCATGCAATAACCTCAATCCTAGCAGCAATTTTAGAAACCAAAAGATGTGACCTCCACAGGTAGACAGCT